CCTGCCAACGCAGGAGATGTAAGTTCTATCCCTGGTTTGAGAAGATTCCTCTAGAGATGGAAATGGCAACCTCTTTCAGTATCTTGACTGGGCAATCCCATGGATGGAGGAACGTGGAGGACTACAGTCCATGGGGTCACAAAAGAGTCCGTCCAACATGACTTAGCAACTAAACAACAACAAAGTTATTGCAGGCACCACATTCATTAAGTTACAGTACTGTACACATTCTTTCTTATAAATTAGCTATTTGTGTGTTTCAGTGTTTGTAACTTCCACATATTGTTATGTGAGAAATGTTACTGGGGAAATAAGTCAGCAACTTGGAAGATGCTATCATATATCTTGAAATGAATGGCCTAAAATTATTTTAACCATGGCTGCTGAAAGGTCAAAATTAGAAGGGATTCATAAACAAAGAAATGCTTATTGCTAATTGAAATGTATCACTCTACTTAATTTATTAGTTTACACAGTTTAGCTTCAAACCTAGTTCTGCCCAATAGATCCATAAGACAAGCATATGTTAGTTACAATTTTCTAGTAGCAATATTAAAAAAGTAAACAGAAATAAGTTAAAGTATTTTCAAAGTATATTGTTTAACCCAATATATCTAAAATGTAATTATTTAAACATGTAACCTACGTTTAAAAAATGATAAGATAGTTTACATTCTTTTTTTTAATGTTAAGTCTCCAAAGTCCGGCCACATGTCATTGCAACAAATATCAATTCAAACCAGCCATTTTTCAAGAGCTCAATAACCACATGTGGCTAGTAGCCATCATATTACATGGTATATCTTTATCCTTAACCTTACAAGACTGCAAAGCATCTCTGGAGGTTCTTATTTAAAGTTACAATCATTGAGAGCATCAGACACAAAAAGATATACTAGATAATGCTGTAAAATAATGCTTTAAATAAATTATACAACTATCACTTTGGATTTTCTAAGATTTGGATTCCTGAACAACTGTGAAAAAAATCAATAATAAACAATAAAATAATAAGAAAGAATAATCTTCATATATATGGAAACTAGAAAGATGGTACCGATGATCCTATGTGCAGGGCAGCAAAGGAGACACAGACATAAAGAACAGAGTTTTGGACTCAGTGGGAGAAGGAGAAGGTGGGATGATTTGATAGAACAGCACTGAAACATATAGATTACCGTAAATAAATAGATAACCAGTGCGAGTTTGATGAATTACATAGGGCACCCAAAGAAGCCGGTGCTCTGTGACTACCTGCAGGGTTGGGTTGGGGAGGTAATTGTGGGGGGCGGAGGGATGTTCAGGATGGAGGGAACACATGTATGCCTCTGGATGATTTGCACTGATGTATGGCAAAAACCATCACAATATTGTAAAGTAAATATCCCCAATTAAAATAAATAAGTAAATTAAAAAGAATAATCTGAACATCATTCTGAGTGTTGCTGCTAGTCAATCATGCCCTCTGAAGTGGTTTCTATGACAAAAGAAGTGACTCTGAAAGTAATGTGACTAAAAATGAGATTTGATCACATATCTAAAGTGTGTTGAAGCACATTCATCCTTTAGACTTGCAGCTTACTGGTAGATTCATCTGCTGATGACATCTAAAACCTAGAAGGGAATATCTGACTCACCCCAAGAATTACTCCAACATCTTTGTTAAATTTTTAGATTTTATTTTCTATGCTGCATCCAAAAATAAGATAGTATTACCTTTTATACGTAGCAGGTACTAAAAAATATTACTTGGATAAATGAAGAAAATGATTCATCACTTATTAATGAAAGATATACATATTATTTATAATCCCAAGTCTTTGGTTACCTCTCCAGAAGCAGTAATTAATCTGTGATATTTGACTGTGAATTTTGATCAATATCTAAGAAATTCACCTTGAATTTCACCTTCCTAGACAGTTTATAGAAACTGTCATTGGTGGATATGTAACCTAGTGGCCTTCAAATTGATTACCTGTTCCTCTAGGGAAACAAGAAGATATTTTTGGAAGTGCCTGACACAAAAATTTTTGTAAGAATAAATTTTTGATGTTCAGCATCCATATAGTTTCTTTATGAAATGACTTTGGGAATGTAAGAGGTTTGACTGTGCCTCTGTTACACTACATTTTTTTCCTTTCTACAATCTTATTTACTCACTTTACAAAAATGAAATAGTAGTAACAATAATAAATATTAATTTTAAAAAAGGAAAAAATGTGAATAGACATAGTTCTTAAAGCCATTTAATATTTCCATTGTATATCCCAAATAGGAAACATTTCTGAGATACCTATCAAAAGGACTACTGGAAATATTGACATAGATTTTGAGGAAGTGAATGACACCAGTGATAGGGTAGCATATTCTAGTGTAAGACAAATGGTATCAATTCATAAATAATAAATATTTTCCAGATCCAAGAAAAATAAAATCATGCAGCTCATTAAGAGATGGATTGAAATCAAATTTTACTTTTAACATATAAAAATTTGTATTATGCTCATGTTGTTTTGACAATTATGTATTAATATCAGAAAAATAACTCAATAAATAATATAGATTTAGAACAATGTTCTATGTGTGACCAAATTTTAAACAAAATTTAAATATATGTATACATATTTCTTGGAAAGTATTATGAAAGAGCCACCACTAAAAGTGTTTCAAACAGAAAAATACATTATATGTATTACAAACTCTTTTTGAAGATAAAATTAAAATTTGAGTTTGAGGAGAAAAGGGACTAACATAAAAATATGTGAATGAAATGTTAAAGAATATGTTCATGCATATTTAAATTCATAATGTTTGGTATCAAAATATGCATTTAGTTTACATTATTTTACACTGTGATATAACAATTTATTTTAAACTTGATATATTTATGAAGTGAAGCATTAGTCTCTCAGTCATGCCCAACTTTTTGTGAACCCATGGACTGTAGCCCGCCAGGCTCCTCTGTTCATGGAATTCTTCAGTCAAGAATCCTGGAGTGGGTCGCCATTTCCTTCTCCAGGGGATCTTCCCAACCAAAGGATCAAACCTGGGTCTCTGGGATACAGGCACATTTTTTATCATCTGAGTCACCAGGGAAGCCTCAGTATATTTACAATACAGCCAAAATGTGTGCTCAACAACTATCTAAATCTATGATAGAAGTTTAGGTTTTAACCTGAAAATGCCTAAAAGATACCTAGATTTTTTCCTATTAATTATTTTATATAGAGAATGTAAAAATTTGGTAACAACTATTTTAAACAGAGCAAACATTTCATGAAGTTCACTGTTTAAAGGTGACCTGATGACATGGATGTGCTCAGGAAGAATAGCATACGGTGAGAAGAACATTTCCCTTGCATTTGTAAGATCTGAAGTGTGAGAGGCTGAGATTTGAGGCCACTTACTGATCAAGCAGCACAGGCCTATCAATCCACCATACACAGACCTCTATTATTTAGGAGGTGTGAAGAAGTACTCTCTCATTTGACCAGAGGTTTCCAGGAAGCCACAGACACCCACAGGCAGAAGCAAGAAGTGCCAACTAGAAGTCTGCTGACAATTTGAGAGAAGGGGTGGAGCAGAGGGAAAGATACAAGCCCACCGGCCTCAGGGCATGGTGCGGATAGGAGGAGAGGGGAGTGCACAATCCAGACAGCAGAGAAACGGGACCCAAAGCTCTACCAAAACAGAATTCTGTTGGTGTTTCTGTTCGGATTTTTCAAATCTGAAACCTGGTGTGTAAGATTGTCCATATGTTACTCGATACCTACGTTTAGACCATTTACTCAGCTATTCTTCATCCTCAGAATCTCCTGGCATATGAAATTTTGGTAGCCACTATTCAAAACAGACTGAATAGGCTGAGAGTAGACACCACTGGATGGTAAACTGGGGGGAAGAGTCTGATTCCGTATATAGCAAGAAGGAAGTTGTTTTATACGTAGTTTTACCATAAATTTACTGTTTAGACAAGGATACTTTTGAGAAGAGAAGGGATTGCTATTAATAACAACGCTGAGAAAAATGAAAGTAAACCATGACAATCTGAGACAATCCAGAAAATACACTTATCTTGCTCAAAGTCATGTTACTAGTATGGTCTTTTATGGGGAGCAGGTTTTTAATATCTGTCTGACCCATCAAAGCAAGAACTTGTTATATTTCAATTCAAATATCATTAAGTCTCAAGCTTCTACTGGTAACTTCCTATTTGTCAGACTGGTGTGAGCCTTGAGAAAAACAGGCAAAGGGCATTCAAGATCTCAACTTAATAATAACTGTCAGAGATGGCACGTGTGTGGGCACATACAGAGACACATCTATGTTGATAACATGTGAGATGGAAAGGCATCAAGGTAACTCCTGTGATCCAAATTCAAGCCCGAGGCAATATTTTGAATTTCTCACTCCTATTCTTCCCCAGAAATCCTGGTGTGGAGCTCTGCCCACAGAAGAAACACGATCAGAATTTATGGACTGGTTCAAAGTCCCTCCCTGCTTCGAATGACTCAAAGTCATTCTCTCTTGCAGGAAAACAAGGTGATAATTCCCTGTTGGACTGGTTTGGTCTTGACACTGTAGATGATGGGACTGAGCACAGGAGGGACAAAGAGGTAGATGCTGGACATGAGTGTGTGGGCCAGAGGTGAGGCATACTTGGCAGTACGATGCATCACAGACACGCCAATCAAAGGCACGTAGTACACAAGTACCGCACAGATGTGTGACACACACGTGTTGAGGGCCTTCTGCTGTCCCTCCCCAGAAGCAATGCCCAGCACTCTGTAAAGAATCAACATATAGGAGACCACGATCAGCAGTGAGTCCAGTCCAAAAGCGGCCAAGGCAATGGCCAAGCCCAGGATGCTATTGAGCTTAGTGTCAGCACAAGGCAGCTAGATCAGGTCTGAGTGGAGGCAGTAAGAGTGGGAGAGGATGTTAGTGTGGCAATAGGGCAGTAACCTCAAGAGGACTGGAAGGGGAGCCCTGAGTATCACACTCTTCAGGGTAATGACCAGACCAATGCAGACAATACGGGGCAGGGTGAGGATGGCTGTGTAGCGCAGTGGATTGTAGATGGCTACAAAGCGATCATAACTCATAGCCAGCAGGACCCCTGACTCCATGCAGGAGAAGGTGTGGATGAAGAACATCTGGGCAAGGCAGCCATCAAAGTCAACCCGGCGGGCATCAAACCAAAGAATGCCCATGGCAGTAGGCAGTGTGGACACAGAGACACCCACCTCAGTTGCAGCCAACATGGAGAGAAACAGGTACATGGGCTCGTGTAAGGCGGGATCCACTTGCACCGCTGCCATGATTAGGCTGTTGCCCACAATAGCTACAAGGTACATGGTGAAGAAGGGGATGGACAGCCAGCCATGTTGGGCCTCCAATCCTGGAATGCCAGTCAGGAAGACAGATAGGAAGTCAAGACTTCCATTGCTCTTAGCTTTCATGTCACCAATAGCACTGACCAGTCTTTACCTGCCACTTGAAAAAAAAAAAAAAAAACGAATCAGTTAACTCCCACCCATGAAGCCTTCTGCCTTAACAACCTAACCTCAAAGTCTGAAGAAGAGAGAGATGGAAAGACATGGAGGAAATTGGAGTCATCTACATTATTCCTTGTAAAAATATTCTCACCTGCTATTCCCCTGACAGCCAGAGCCCTAAAACCTTATGCATAAAAAAAAATATTTGAGACTACCCAATCTTATGAGAGATAACATCATTTAAAAATTGAGAAGCACTGGAATAAATCAGAAATGGGTCAAAATCAATACTCAACCAGTTAATACATGATTTACCTTGTAGAGATAATAATATTCTCTTACTTAGATATAAGAAATAAATGAAAAAAAATAGCTTCATATGTTCAGTGTTTTAGACCTCTGCAGATTTATTTTTACAGACCTCCGTTTGGAGCCCAATTTACAGTTTACGAGCAGTGTCACCTGGAACAGGTAACTTAACCTTTCGAAGCCTCTGTGTTTCTATATCTAAAATAGATAAAATACATCTATTGCATATGGACATTGTAAAGGCAAACACGATATCATATGGTATGTATGGACAAACCTCATTTGTCACAAAGAGTGAAAATGAAGGCTTATAAACACTAGCCCTGACCCATGGCATGGAGGAGGAACATGAATGATGGCAAAGAGTAAGAACAGCACCCAAGAGTGCACAGCTTCAGGGAAATAATTCAGTCGTTGTGCGCTAGAAAGGATAACCAGATGGGCAACTGTTTCTGACCAAGATGCCTGACTTCAGTCCCATAACAACTATGTTAAGTGACTGTCATTAAGGCATTAAGTGGCTAAATTGGGACTAGAATCTAATTCTTTCAACTGTAAGTCCTGTGGTCCTTTGTATGAAACCCAGCTGCCAGCCTTCTGAAATTGCAGCTACTGATGTAAGAAGAATGTAGAGATATTGGGAAGTTGGTCACCTTCACCTTCACAGGCAGAGCCAAGTAGAGAATGGAAGACAGATTTATTTTTCCTGCCTCCTAAGAAGACTAGGAGATTTACTTGCTTTATCTTCCTCTTCCTTGTTGTTGAACTCCCACTGCCATTCATAGTCAACACCTTTATTTTATCTGCAGCTTTTCCTTTACTACTTAAGTGGAAATAGTAGCCTTGTATCTGAGTTGAAAATATTTTATACATGATTCTTACTTTATGACAAGTGCCTTTACACCTCTGTTCTCTGTTGAAATCTTAGGTAAACTTGTGTCTGGTTCATTCTTGCCTCCCACTGCTTCATGTTTCTAGCACAAAGACACACTCAAATATTCATGAATTAATAAAAGCATGAGCACATTGTTCAGGGTCATAATTGAAGTACATTCAGTTCTGGGTTCCATTCTCCACATCGAACTTAAACCAATGGGACACACACAGAGATAGAGGGGCCAAGTCATATAAAGAGCATTGAAGGAACCAGTGATGCTGTGTTCTGAGAAGAGACTGCAGCAGTGATGGACGGGGATGCATGTAAGAGGTAAGGAGTGGCAGATGGAGACCACAAGATGACAATTTAGGGTCCAAATAAGGAAGATTTTTCTGAGTCAAAGCTGCAAGATGAGATAATAAATTGTCAGTGAATGTGCTCAAGCAACAATCAGAATTGTATAACCGCTGATGGAAATGCTGGGGGGAAAACTCAGGCAGCTGCTAACTGGGATTAAAGGCGTTTTCAAGTCTCCTTCTGCCCTTTGGCCTAATGTTCCAGGAGGTCAAAATCTCTCCTGGTCTGTGATGCTGACAGTATCATGACTTTGGTTCTGTGTGGAATAGAACGGAGGCAAGCTCTCAGCCCCTGTCATGGGATTGCCATGTGTCCTTCACTGATAGAGCTGTCTCTGCAGCCTATATGAAAGTGCTGTCCAGGAGGACACCTGGTACTGGAAGGTATATTACTCTTATCTTTTTTTAAAAAAAATATACATGAAACTAAGATTTTGGAATTTTATTTTTAATTTTTTTTCCATTAAAAGGGTTAAACAGTATTACCAACCAAGTGGGATCCACTCCTGGAATGTGAGAATGGGTCCACAGACAAAACTCAATCAATGTGATATATCATCTTAATAGAAAGAAGGAAAGCAACCAAGATCATCTCAACTGATCCAACAAAATAATCTGACAAAAGGAAATTTTATTTTTATTTGTTTTAAACCCTTCCATCATAAGCCACACGAATCATAGCAAATACACAAGCACACACTTGCATGGACAGAAATTCACTCAGAGACACAGAGTCTTGAGAGAGGCTAAGGACCCACACAGGAGCACAGAGAGAGTCACAGGCTGAAATGTACTTCTTGTGAGCTTACAAAGAGATCTCAGACTCACCTGAAAGAGCGCAATGAAGTGAGAACCGGCTCGAAAGACAAAAGGCCTGAGCTCACAGTGGTTCCAGAAGGAAACTCAAGCAGGTACTAGCCAGAGACAGGCAGACTTTATATCTCTGAATACGTGTTCCTAGGCACCAATGTCTCTGGTGTCCTGGCTTGCCTGAGTGTGATGCTGTGCTGGTAATGGGGGAAGAAAAGGAGGATTAGATGTCACTTGGCAACAGAAGGAGGAAAAAAAAAAACTATCCCTGGAGACACTGCCCTCTTTCCAAAGAGAAAATAAAATTCCAAGTGCTTCCTTGTGATGAAGAGAATTTTCCTCCCAGCTCCATAGCAACATCCTTCCTATCCCAATTATCCAGTTTCAAAAATCAGAACCCTCAGCAGAGAACTCAGATCTGAAATCCCCTTATTTTGGGCTTAAAATACACATTTTGGGGTAGAACCTGAAGCTTTACCTTCTGAGCCACCAGGAAAGCCCTAAATAGTATACAATTTGTGTGTGTGTGTTCAGTCATGTCTGACTCATTGCAACCCTTTGGACTATAGCGCACCCACACTCCTCTGTTCATGGGATTTTTCAGACAAGAATACTGGAGTGGATTGCCATTTCCTTCTCCAGGGAATCTTTCCAACCAAGGGGTCAAAGTGATGTCTCCTGCGTTGCAGGTAGATTCTTTATCATTGAGCCTTCAGTGAAACTACATGGTGTCTCAGAGAGTAAAGGATCTGCCTGCAATGTGGGAGATTTGGGTTTGATCCCTGGGTTGGAAAGATTCCCTAGAAAAGGGAATGGCAATCCACTCCAGTATGCTCACCTTGGAGAATTCCATGGACAGAGAAGCCTGGTGGGCTACACTCCATGGGATCTCAAAGAGTTGGACATGACTGAGCAAGTAACACTTTCACTTTAGGGGCTTCCCAGTTGGTACTAGTGGTAAAGAACCTGTCTGCCAATGCAGGAGACATAAGAGACATGGGTTCAATCCCTGAGTTAGGAAGATCCCCTGGAGAAGGAAACAGAAAACTGCTACACTATTCTTCCCTGGAAAATTCCATGGACGGAGGAACAGGGTGGGCTACAATTCATAAGGCCACAAACAACTGGACAGGACTGAGAACACCTATGTAAAGCATAGACCCAATGGGAAAACTCCAGAACTCAGAGCCAAGGGAACAGACCTTAATGTGTAGAGTTAGTTCCAAGAATTAACCAACAGATCATATGAACATGGCTACCTCCATTCACTTATAACTGGTGTTTTCTGCTCAATCCCCTCTCCCATCACCTCCAATCCAACCCTCTACCAAGTTCTACAAGACTGAGATCTCCTCCAGGAGAGACATCCCCACTGAAAGACCACTGAGTTCAAAGTCACATAAAGTGGGTTTGAGCCTTAACCTTTCTTTCTACTAGCTCCATAATTCATGAATCTAGTATTCCTTCAAACTGGTACTTGATCTGTAAAAAAATAGATCCTGTCTATAAGGGATTCAAATAAAAAGAAGAAAGTGATCTTTAAAAATGTGATTGTACTACATATGGTAATTATACTCATTAGGAGTTCTGCTAAAGGTTCTAATTTCAGATATTCCAAATAGTTTATTCTTCCAAATAACTGATTTTCCCATTAAATATTTTCATTTTACCTCCTCCTTGTTTCAGTTTCAGACAGAGTAAAGGTATACTGAGCAAAGGAATGGTGGGAGATCTCTCTATTTTTTCTATCAAGTCATGGGATGGTTAGGGAATAGAAATAGAATATGGACATAGAAGAAAGTTTTCCTTCTCCATGTGGAACTTTGATGTATCTTAGAGAGGCAGTTTGAAAACTCTTTCTACTTTCCATCACTGTAGAATTCACTAGGTAAAAATTAATGGGTCAGGAATGAGAAGATATAATTAAAGAGAATGCAAAAAGCAGTCTTGTGAATAGGGTCTTAGAATTATGGAGAATAGAGAGACCGACATGGTGCTTCAGATTAAGCATAAGTTCCTGGTGAGGAGAATGTAGGCTTTGAGAAGACCCAGAGGGAAATGTCTCTATGTTGTTAGAGGCAGCATAATGGGGAATAAGCATCATCCTTGATACAGTCTTTCATTTATTTAACTAGTCATTTGGTTGTTGATTTAATTCTCATGCATTGGGCATGGCAAACACTGTGCTAGGTGTAAGATTTTAGGTTTGACTATCATTTCATTATCTCTTTTTCAACTTTTCAAAAGTCTTCTTTCAAGACTTAGTGCCTGCCACTATCTTATGAGTAAAGAAGTCAGGGGAAATAGTACTTGTTCATTCCAAGAGTGATAATGCCAAACATAATGTTTGTGCAAATCCCAGCAAAAGGGATCTATTACAAGTTAGGGCTTCCCTGGTGGCTCAGATGGTCAGAGTCTGCCTGCAATGCAGGAAACACAGGTTTGACCCCTGGGTTGGGAAGATCCCCTGGAGGAAGGCATAGCAAACCACTCCAGTATTCCTGCCTTTAGAATCCCATGGACAGGGAAGTTTGGTGGGCTACAGTTCATGGGGTCTCATAGAGTTGGACTTGACTGAATGACTATCACTTTCACTTTCATTTATGGAAAAATTATGAAGCATTTTGCCCCACGGAGCTTAAATAGGGAAATAAATTTGTCTTGAGGTGTTTAAATCAAAATTTTTTTCAATGGAGCAAAGAAAAGATGCACACAATGCAGGTACATGTTTGGTGCAGAAAAATACAATCACATTAAAATTTTCTCATTTTAGAAAAGGAATATAGACTTTAGAAGGAAGTTAATGGAGTTTGTAGAAAACAAAAAAGTCTCAGAAGAGGTCTTGATCAGGAGACGTGTATGCATTGAACACTCACCCCAAAAACTCTCGCAAGATTCTCTATCTTAGTGTAACACCCAACTGATTATTTTCCCCTCTATAGTCGGACATGACTGAGAGACTGAAATGAACTGAACTGAACTGATATTGTATTTACTTAGAAGGTAGCCTTTAGTGGGATTTTACCTGAATTTTGGATTGCAGGTTAGTTGAGATCTTAGCAGGTGGACATTGGGAGAAAAGCAAGACATCTAGTGATGAGGCAAGAGCCTGAGTGCTAGAGAAGAGGCCGGAGACTGTTCATCCCATTTCAGTTATTTCCGTGTTCCATGCACACTTCCTTGTGTAGATAAGAGGTTATAAGTCTGTATATCCTTTTACCACCAACACCTTACACCTAGTTGTCAGGCACTCAATTTCTTCCAGCTTTAAAAATCACCTTCAAGCTTAGGCTTCCCAGGTGGTGCAATGATAAAGAATCCACCTTCTGATGCAGGAGATGCAAGAGATTTGATCAGGCTCGATTCCTGGCTCTGGAAGATCCCTGGAGCAGGAAATGGTCACCCACTTCATTATTCTTGACTGGAGAGGCTACAACCCATGGGATCACAAAGAGTCTGGTTTGACTGAGTGCACACACAGAATCTTAGGCAGTCTCTCAGGATCGATCTTGTTTCCAGAGCTTCTTAGTGTGAAACCTCCCCTTTGTCTAAACAAAGCTGTTTGCAATTTTCCCAAAGAGTCTAGACCAATATTCTAATTTAAAGGTTTTCAACCTGTAATATATATCAGATTTGCTTGGAGGGCTTATTAAAAATACATATTGCTGGACGTCACCACCTAAGACTTTCTGATCAGGACATCTGAGGAAAAGCCTGAGAATTTGTATGCCTAACAATTTCCCAAGCAATGCTGATGACACTAGTCTGGAAATCACACTTTGAGAACTAGTTTTTCAGACTCATATTATTCATTATCTTTCTTATTTTTGTTGCACATTAGATACCCAAAAACTTAAGGGGTTAAAAAAGAGAAACACTATGCCACTCAACCTTTAATCACCCCAAGGTCTTATTAAAAGCAATTTGAATTCAGTAGGTCTTGTTCAGGGGCTAAGATTCTGTTTCATTAACAAACCATCAGATATAACAATGCTGTTGTTCACTGGACCACACTTGGAGTAGTAAAGGTCTAAATATGCTTGCCTAAATATTTTTTCCTCAAGCAGTTTGTTATGCCAAGATCATTACTTTCCTGTCTTTCTGCCACCCTGACCAACTACCATAACCCTTCTCTTCCTTCATAGTCTACCTCACAAACATAGAAAAAAATTTTTTGATTTCCACAAACCAGTGGGCCCTTTCTCCCCCATGCACGCTAAGTTGCTTCAGTCATGTTCAAATATGTGTGACCCTATGGACTGTAGCCCACCAGGCTTTTCTGCCCACGGGGTTCTCCAGACAAGAATACTGGAGTGGATAGTCATGCCCTCCTCCAGGAGATCTTCCTAACCTAGAGATCAAACCCACATCTCCTTCATTGGTGGGCAAGTTCTTTATTACTAGTGCCACATGGAAAGTGCCCTTTTCCACCCCATGAAGCACCAAACTTCCACTGAATTTTGTCTTCACTGAATCATTTCCTCACTCTTGGTAGTAGTAGAATTGTGTTCAAGGATAATTGCACTGTAGAGCTTCCAATATTTTCACATATGTCAAATATATCTCAGGGCATCTTTATTTTTTATGTTTTCCCCTTGATACATGTATCTCTTAAGAATATGTCTTATTCATCATTATAACATTGCTAACAACTAGCACAAAGATTTTCACAGGTAAGTGTTCAATATATATGTCATTTTATTGAGTCCGATATTCTTTTATTAGCTCCATATTCATGCTATCAAGATCCTGGCTCTTTTCCTTGTTTTAACATTTCTAAAGTCAGAAAAAGTCCTAGTCCTTCCTCCAAAATGGTTCTCTCAGGGTCTGCAGCATCCCTCAGCCCCAAGTCTTCCAGAAGATTTGACGGATCCCTCTGAGTATCTCCTTTGTCTTCACACTGTAGATGATGGGGTCGAGCATGGGGGGTATAAACAGGTAGACATTGGACATCATGACATGAACAACAAGTGGGGCACTTTTCCAGAAATGGTGGATCATGGAGACAGCGATTATGGGCACATAAAAAGCCAGTATTGCACAGATGTGGGACATGCAGCTGTTGAGAGCCTTGAGCTGCTCCCGGGATGCAATTGCCAGCACGGCTCTCAGGATCAATGTATAAGAAAGCAGGATAAAAGTTGAGTCTATGCCGTAGGTGAAAAGAACCACAAAGAGCCCATAGATGTTATTAACATGGATATCTCCACATGCCACTTTCATGAGATCTGGATGGAGGCAGTATGAGTGATGTAAAACATTGCCTTTGCAGAAGGGCGGTCGTTTCACCAGAAAGGGGAAAGGGAAGAGAGTGGTGAAACTTTTGGCAAGGATGCCCAGGCCCATAGCCAAGATGCGGTTGTTGGTGAGCACAGTTGCATAGCGCAGTACGTCACAAATAGCCACAAAATGATCAAAGCTCATGGCCAGCAGTATGCCTGACTCCATGAAAGAGAAAGTATGAATGAAGAATATCTGAACCAAGCAGGCATCAAAGTCAACATGACGATAGTTGAAGCAGAAGGTAGCAAGCACGGTGGGAAGTGTAGAGAAAGACACTCCCAGATCATTGAGAGAGAGCATAGAGAGGAAGTAGTACATGGGCTGGTGTAGAGAAGGCTCTCGAATCACCAAAGCAAGGATGGTGAGGTTGCCTATGATGGAAATCAGGTAGAGGATGCAGAAAACCAGAGCAACCCAGGCTTGACCTGTCTGCATCCCAGGGATGCCTGTTAGCTGGAGTGTGACTGGCTGGAAGGGGGTGCCATTGAGGCCCAACATGGCAGGCAGATATAAGGGTGTGTGGGAATATTCTTCCCTCTTTCTCAGGCATCCTGTCTCCAACACAAAAGGTCAGAGATTGAAAGTGTTGGCTTCTGGTCCTACTTCCTCCATTAGACCATGAGCTCTTTGAGGATAACAACTGAGTTCTACTCATCTCTGACTCACCAGAGCCCAGTCCCCTCTTGCGACCATGTTATAAACTCCATGTTACCTCCTCACCTAGGTTTAAATGCTGATGTCTCTAAAAATTCATCTTAGATACAACCTCTCTTGTATCTACTTTTTTATCATCATCATTCCAAGATTATTTCTAGATCTTGGAGAAATGGAAAAACTCTTAGAGGATCAACAAACATGAAGGACTCTTCACAAAATAGCTTTACCCCAATGTCCTTAATCCCTTGTGTGAAAATTTATGTAATCCAGAAGGGCATACTTCAACAATGTTCCAGATTTTCCTCACTATGGAAGGTAACTTTGAAAATGTCTCCCCCAGAGAAAACATCATCTGTCACCACCCAGCAATAATTTTTTCTTTGCTTTCACCAAAGAGGTGTCAGTGAAGTCTTGATAAATAAAACTAATCTAGGCATAAATATATATAAAAACAAAAACAAAAAAAAACCATAGACAGATACAAGCAATGCACTTCTTTTGCACGGCATGTACATGAGCATCTATACTTATGCACAGTTACATAAAGGTATCAATGAATATATGCTTAACATTCATGTGCACACTTATATACCCAGGTATTCATAGGTAATACCTCACATCACGCAAAGAGAAACTATTGCATAATCTCTTACTCAAATAACACTAGCACAATCATAGAATTTAATAAGATGAATAGTTACTCATAGATATTATGCAGTGTGTTGCAAATATCCTCCCATGTTTATACCCACCTGAAGGTATACATATAGGTACACATGTGTACACACACAGGGCTATAAATGCATTAACAGACTCACAGTAATATCCTAATCAATTATGTTCCCATGGCATACTCAATAATGAAAATCCATCTAAAATTGAAGACTTCATTTTTCAATCACTTCAGTTCATCTGGTTCTTGATTTTCACCAGCTGCACACATAAGAGTTAGGTATGGGACATAATAATTCAAATTGCAGGGGAAAAAATATGCATACCATCAACACAAAATCTAGATTTGATGAATCAGTTCCTTAATCTAAACATGTGTGGTTTGGTACTAGGATTTTCATTCAGATGACAACCTGGCATCGGGGTTTGTAATCACGGGCTTTTGGAAGAAAAGCTAGTTATCTAATGTCTACAGAGTATGAGGGTCTGAGTCTGCCTGGAGTCCCAGTAAGAGTGTTAAGTTTGGGATAAGTTCTCAATAAGGAGCCCTGATGAGCAATCTGAAGGAGGTGACACTCACTAGATAGGAGGCAGTGGTCTGTGAGTCCCACAGGCTGAGCAGCATCAGCCCAGTCTTCTGTGACTCATAAATATATCAAACCACTAAGCTTGTTTGTTGTGATGAAAGGAGGGAGGGTGAAATAATGGGGAGGGTGGTGCCAATGAGTAATGGACTGGCCATAGGAGGACTGCTCCCAGGAGAAGTGTTTTAGCCTCAACAGTACTAATATCTCTCTCTCTATCAATTGCTATGTTATCCTTTACTATGTTAATCCTTCCTTGGTCAAGGAATGCACACCTACTTATGCATACAAAGATGCACCATAGACATTCTGAGACCTTTCCCCACCCACCCCCAGCTCATTTATTCCCAAGGACAGCCGCTTATGGTGAACAAATCAGCATTTGGGGTCATACCTGTGCTCCATCCTAGGGGTAGCTAATTCTTCCCCTACACTGCCTTCTCTGCAATCAAGGCTACAGAACCACACAGGAACAGCTATAACACTGTGTTTGCTGCTTTCACGGCAGAAATGAATAATTTTTTAGGAATAAAGAATCATCAATTCTACTTCAGTCAGGTTATAGGAAATGTTTTGAATGTGTGCCAGTTTTGACATAAGTCCAAGATAATCTGGCTATCTGGCTTTGAGAGAGAAAACTATTATATACAATAGAAACTCTATTTCTAAAAACTAAGTCTAACTGTGATTTTTCAGACTACAGTGACTTGATACCTTACATCATTCTGACTATGAAGGTAAAAGTCCATAGGAGATCATGTATTTTACAATTCTAGTGATATAACAAGACCAGTGAGTAGATGAATTCTGCTGTTATGCTATACCAAGGATTCACCTCTCACTCTCTGTGGTTCTTTTCCATATCATAAGGTTCCATTTTTTTACTTGGAGGATATCCCAGACTCTAATGTCAGCAAATCATGGCATCCAGTATCATCACTTCATGGCAAATATATGGGTAAACAGTGGAAACAGGGACAGACTTTCTTTTCTTGAGCTCCAAAATCATGGCAGATGGTGACTGCAGACATGAAATTAAAATACACTTGCTCCTCAGAAGAAAACCTATGACCAACCTAGACAGCATGTTAAAAAGCAGAAATAAAGTACCCATAGGGGCATGGGTTTATTTCTGGGCTTTCTGTCTTGTTCCATTTGTCTACATTTCTGTTTTTGTGCAGTACCATATGGTCTTGATGACTGTAACTTTGTAGTATAATCTGAAGTCAGGAAGGTTGAGTCCTCCAGCTCCATTATTATTTCTCAAGACTGCTTTGGCTATTTGAGGTCTTTTGTGTTTCCATATGAATTGTGAAAATTTTTGTTCTAGTTCTCTGAAAAATGCTATTGGTAATTTGATAGGGACTGCATTAAATCTGTAGATTGTGTTTGGTAGTATAATCATTTTCACAATATTGATTCTCCATACCCAGAAACATGGAATATCTATTTATGTTGTCTTTGATTTCTTTCATTAGCGTCTTATAATTTTCTGTGTACACTGTTTTTTTTTTTTTTTTTTTTTTTGGACTTCTTAGTTAAGTTTACTCCTAGATATTTAATTCTTTGTGTTGTAATGGTGAATGGGATTGATTCCTTAATTTCTCTTTCTGATTTTCATTGCTAGTATATAGAAATGCTAGTGATTTCTGTGTATTGATTTTGCATCCTCAAACTTTGCTAAATTCACTGGTCATCTCTAACAATTTTCTGACACTAATTTTAGGGTTTTCTATGTACAGTTTCATGTCATCTCCAAACAGTGAGAGCTCTACTTCTTCTTTTCTGATCTGGATTCTTTTATTTCCTTTTCTTCTTTGATTGTTGTAGCTAGGTCTTCCAGAACTGTGTTGAATAATAATGGCAAAATTGGACACCCTGGTATTGTTTCTGATCTTATGGGGAATGCTTTCAGTTTTTCACCCTTGAGAATAACGTTTGATGTAGGCTTTCATAGATGGCTTTTACTGTGTTGAGGTAGGTTCTTTCCAAGTTCATTTTTTGAAGAAGTTTAATCATAAATGGGTGTTGAATTTTTTCTATATCTATTGAGATTATCATATGAGATTTATCTTTCAATTTGTTAATATGGTATATCACATTGATTGATTTGCATGTATTGAAGAACCCTTGCATCCCTGGAATAAACCTAATCTGATCATGGTGTATGAGATTTTTGATGTGTTGCTGAATTCTGTTTGCTAAAATTTTGTTGAGGATTTTTGCATCTATGTTTATTAGTAATATTGGCTTGTAGTTTTCTTTTTTTGTGCTATCTTTGTCTCATTTTGATATCAGGGTGTTGGTGGCCTCGTAGAATGAGTTTGGAAGTGTTTTTTCCACTCAGTTTTTTGAAAGTTTTAGAAGGATAGGCATTAGCTCTTCTCTAAATGTTTGATAGAATTCTCCTGTGAAGCCATCTGATTCTGGGCTTTTCTATTCTGAGAGATTTTTGATCACAGCTTCAATTTCAGTGCTTGTAATTGGGTTCTTCATAATTTCTGCTTCTTCCTGGTTCAGTCTTAGAAGATTGAACTTTTCTAAGGACCTGTCCATTTCTTCCAGGTTATCTATTTTATTGCCATATAGCTCTTCATAATAATCTCTAATAATCTTTGTATTTCTGCATTGTCTGTTGTAACCTCTCCTTTTTTCTTACTAATTTTGTTGATTTGATTCATCTTTTTTTCTTGTTGAGTCTGACTAAAGGTTGGTCAATTTTGTTTATCTTCTCAAAGAACCAGTTTTTATTAGTTTTTTTTTTAAAGAACCAGCTTTTATTAGTTTTATTAATCTTTTTTATTGTTTCTTTCATTTCTTTTTCATTTATTTGTGCTCAGATCTTTATGATTTATTCCCTTCTAATAACATTGGGGAGTTTTTGTTCTTCTTTTTCCAGTTGCTTTAGATGTAGTTAGGCTGTCTATTTGATCTTTTTCTTGTTTCTTGAAGTGTGATTGTATTGCTATAAACTTACCCCTTAGAAATGCTTTTGGTGCATCCCATAGGTCTTGAGTTGTGTTTTCATTGTCATTTGTTTCTAGATTTTTTTTTATTTCCACTTTGATTTCTTCAGTAACCTGTTGGTTATTTAGAAATGTGTTGTTTAATCTCCATGTGGTTGTGTTTCTTACAGCTTTTTGTCTCGTAATTTATATCTAGTCTCATAGCAATGTGGTCAGAGAAGATGCCTGATATGATTTCAATTTTCTTAAATTTATCAAGGTTTGATTTGTGACCCAAGATGTGGTCTATCTTGGAGAATGTTCCATGTGCACTTGAGAAGATGTATTCTTCTGCATTTGGATAGAATGTCCTGAAGATATCAATGAAATCCATTTCATCTAATGTGCCATTTAAGACTTGTTTCCTTATTAATTTTCTGTTTTGATGATCTGTCTATTGGTGTGAGGGGGTTGTCAAAGTCTCCTACTATTACTGTGTTACTGTCAATTTCTCCTTTGATGTCTGTTAGTGTTTGTCTTATGTATTGAGGTGCTCCTATGTTGGGTGCATAGAGATTTACAATTGTTATGTCTTCCTCTTGGATTGATCTCTTGATCATTAGGTAGTGTCCTTCCTTAT